GAGTGGATTTAATTGACTCAAAAAGAAGCAACAGGAGGATATAAACACAATGTACACACCCCACCTCTGTATGACTAGGATGCACACAACCAGCAATACACACACACACACAACACACACACACACAACACACACACACAAAGAATCGGGCTGACAAAGAGCAAAGTTATACAAGAACGTAGCTATGCCTAGGCGGAGGGGAAAAAGCTCGAAGCTATCAAAACAATGATTGACGAACTAAAGCAACAACCATCAACACCAGCCATCTTTTGGACAACACAAGGACAATTGTAAACGTTTTCCAGCAGCAACACCTCCAAGAAGGGAACAGCAATCATAGGCCACATCGCTGGATTTTGACCTTCGAAGTCCACGTCCTAGGTTTTCACCCTGAAGATCAAGTCCAAGCAACTTTGAGCAATGCATTCAACAAATAATCGACCCAAAAACACTGCCATTGCCTGGTATAGCCCACTAGGGTCAGACCTGGGTTTTCACGTTGAAACTTGAGATTACGTACTCGAGAAGCACCACCAAATTGAAGTCATCCTATGTCGTCGCCGCCACTTTCCACGATCCTAGTAGCTACATGCGTGCACCATCTTAACGTGAGAAGCCACACAAGTGATGACCATGCCCGCACAAGCAGGTAGTCAAACCATGACAAGAGTTGGTTACCACCAAAGGCTCTGAACAACGAAGGTCGTTTCATACATACAACGAAGATTGATGAGGGACAAAGGTCACCGACACTGCCAAACTTCCAATTCGGGACACTCCGACAGCCCTGCACCTTCCTCATGAGTGACGGTCGATGGCAGATCTACATAGCACAAATTAATTAGCTAGAGCTATAATAACGTTTACATCACATTTGTCATAGCCTCACATCAGCTATCATATAAACATTTTTTAGTTGTTAGCTGGCCCAGGTCAAGCAATTGGTACAGTTAGAACATTCATAGTGAAAACTTACTTTTCCGTCATCAGCACATGACGTACCTCCGGAAAGTGTTGTTATCTTCTCGTTTCTCTGAGTAGGCCGATGAATTCATCTGCAACACACATAGTCCATGGTTATGAATAGGCCGACATTAAAGAAGAAAAGAACAAAAGAAGCACATGGGGAAACCCTATTAGTTGACAAAATTATTCTAGTCTATTTCACTACTTTGTAGATGTTGAATTGTGGCCTTGAAAGGTAGGGTTTGGATGGCTGGAGATGCTTAAAAGATTTAAAAAAGAGTGAGTTGTGCATTTAGTGGATTCGCAGCTGCTGTTCTATGGAATGCTCAGTGGGATGTGTGAATTTTTGGTTAGATATCGCCAGGTTGAATAGCGCGTCGAATGTTTTCCATCTACTAATTTTGTCCTAATAATTATGCAGGCTTGTCTTGTGTATGTTATGGTCGAGCTTGTGCTTGGATTATAAATATGTCATTTTTTGCTCTGAAAGTAAAGATACTTTGATTTAATTTGTGCCCATAATACATAGTATTTTAACGATAAGATGTATGACACATGCTGCAGATTTTGAATGAATGTTCCGTTGCAACCATTCTTGGCCTCAATTGTTCTTAAGTTGTTTTATTGTTCCACCAATTTTGTTTGTGCAAAATCTATCAGCCAAAAATTTGCTTCCGTTTTTTTGAACCATTGGCTCCTATAATGTTTGTTTACATAAAACGATTTTGACTCGTGTGCAATTCACTTGCATTTTACAGGTCTACAGTTATTTTGTAGGCACAGACGAGTACTGCATTGAGGAACCAGCAAAGAAAAAAAGCACATATGTACAAATTCGAGGTAGGCTTATCATTTTCTTCTTCCAATCCATTTATCTTGAGATCATTTCGCACAAAAGGCATACATGAAGACAGTCGTGGAACAAATAATATCTATTTACTTTTGCCCATAAAATCCATATACAACGGCTATAATACCTGCTGTCTGCAGTACAGTTTATCCTGTGCCAAAGCTTGTTAGGTGATTTCGATTTACTATGTAAGTTTTTTTTTTTTTGGTTTCTTTCCTTGAGGTCAGTGCTTATTGCACACTTTTATGTCATGTCTCAAAGAAAGGTGTGGAAACATGCATTTTTTGGACATGATATTCCTGTCAAATGCTTCCTATAGACTATGCATCATGCTTAGATGATTCTTCTGTTCAGTACCAGAAGAGCACAAGTAGATCGAGTTGTTGCATGCTTGAACCAGCCACACCAAGCCTGAGTTCAGTCAAACCATCAAGAGGTACCAAAATGAATCCGTGCATGATTAAAATTAGTATTGAAAGGTCTTTAATCTGCCAATAAATGGTTTCCTTATTTATACCTCCAAACATGGGTCCACAGCCTAATGAAATTGCAGTTTCTACATGCAAAGAGGAATATTCCACTGTATAAATGGTTCTAGAACTATTAGCTGTAATGCATTATAAGGTACAACCTTAGTTTTAAACATTTTGCATACTAACAGATATGTATTGCAATTTTAATTTGCGTCCCTGCAGCAATTTTACTATTCTTTGTCTTTTACTATGCGGATCCGCGGCACCGTGAGAGAGGTAACGCCGGCCGGCGCTTCACCACTGGCTATTGTTTGGCGGCGGCAAGGAGAAGGGCGCCGAGGATGTGCTGCTCTGTGCACGGCCGTCGAAGTACAACATCGCTATGATGTTTGTGGTTTCTCTATTTTTCCTCCTATTGCCTGTTCCCAGTTTTACAAACTGTTAAGTTGGTGCTTGATTTCGCTTTCAGATTTTTCTGTGGCTTTCTCCATTAGCATGTTTCTCCTCAACGACCATATTAATCTGGCTGGCGTTTGCACATGTGATTTTGGTTGAGGTATGTGCAAGGTCATCCCTCTCTAGACTGTAATTTGTCTGTAGGTTTTTGGTAGATTTTACTTATCGGGGGCTAAGGCAGTGGTGATGCCGCAGGTTGACCGTTTGTGTACTACGAGAGGTGCCACAATTATTTTCATTCTGGCTCATGTAGTTCAAATCAGTTTTCATATGAAAGAAATTTAAGCTATATATGCATGGTATTTGGTAATACTTTAACTGCAGCTTAGGATACAAACGCAATTACATTAATCAGTTGTTAAACAGGCTACTGGCATGCTGCCTCTTCCTCTTTATTTATTTATTTTTTTGCGAAAAATGCTGCCTCTTCCTCTGATGCAATGAACACGAGGGAAGTCGCCAACGCATTCCGGCTCTTCCGGTGAGGTGTCTACTATAAGCTTGTGTTTTGATCCAGCCGTGTCCCTCTATTTCCATGTGTTTTTGTTGCCGGCTGTGGAGGTGGAGGACCAACATGACTTCTGTCTTACCGGAGTGCATGTCTATTCATCTGAAGCCGGGAGTTGGATTCATAAGGAGAAGAGATGGAGCGGCAATATTGAAGTCACTACTGATCGCCTTGATCGGTCAACTATCTATCTTAATGGTTATCTGCATTTCTGCGTCACTGTTGATGGTTCTGACCGTTGTGGACAAGGAGGAGGGGGAGCAAGGACTAACTTTCGTGTTCCTGATGGTTTGGATGTTGGTTTTATTCAGCAGTCAGAGGGCTGCCTGCATTATGCTGGTTTTGACACAGATGGCAATGATGATGATGTTGTTCAACTGCTAGTTTATGTTCTTAAAGACTATGACAGCAAAGAATGGATACTGAAGCATAGCGTTGAAACTTCGCATGTGTTTGGAGGGCGACACATAGAAGACCTTGATGAGGAATTTAATTGGATTGCAATTCATCCGGAATGTAACTTGATCTTCTTCACTGTGGGCCAGGATATCACATTCATGTGCTATGATGATGTTGTTCAACTGCTAGTTTATGTTCTTAAAGACTATGACAGCAAAGAATGGATACTGAAGCATAGAGTTGAAACTTCGCATGTGTTTGGAGGGCGACACATAGAAGACCTTGAAGAGGAATTTAATTGGATTGCAATTCATCTGGAATTTAACTTGATCTTCTTCACTGTGGGCCAGGATATCACATTCGTGTGCTGTGATATGGATCGTCGACAAGTCAAAGTGATATGCAATCTTGAAAAAGGCAAGCTGCCATATTTTCCATATGTGCCGCTATATGAAGAGCTACAATCGTTGCACAAGTGATGTCTTATTCATGCTATGGAGCAGGGGGCATGGTATGTCTGCTTGAATTTGGTCCTCCTTCCTCTGATGTATGCGTGTTTTTAAGTTTGGAGCAATGGTGGTTCGTTTTGGGGCTGCGGCTGATTTCTCTTAGACTAGTTATTCAAAGTTTAAATGTATTTTCTGTTGGCTGTACAAGTGTTGTCTCTGTATTACCAGTGGTTCTGAACAGCAGGAGGTGGTGATACACTTTGGACGATTGCATTGTCACTTTCTTTTGGTGCTATTTCCTTGTCCTGTGTTTTAAATAGGTTGTGTTGTTAGCTGAACATCACAGCTACAATGCTGCTGTTAATAGGAAATATTGTGGATCATAATGTTCATCATGTTGTTAGACAACTTTCGACACAAAATTGCTCAGAAGACTAGGAAGTCATCTTTATCTGTGGGTCTTGTTCACATAGTAGTTTAAAAAAGTTTAAACTAAGCGATGTCAAGTACTTTCCTTGTTAGTCTTGCCTATAATGGTGCACATACACTCTACTCCAATGCGACTCTAAGGGCCAGTTCTTTTGCTAGCTTTATCTAAGGGCCAGTTCAGCTTCTAGAATAAGCTAGGTAGGGGGCAGCTTATTGCAGCTTATTCTGGAAACCACCAAAAAAACTGGCCCTAATTGTGTTAATAAGAGAGGTAATTCGACTTGCTGCTGAGGCATTTGCTGGTCAAATCTGTTGGGAAATTCATGCTGGGAAGGTCATTGAAACTAATTTCTTTATCTGGTCAACCTTTGGTAGGCTAGTACTTCGAGCTGGGCTGGAATATGGTATGAGCCAATATGGCAGCTCGCCAAACTGCTAAATAATCTTTCCCAGGCCCTGACGTTCCTTGCACACTGTATTCAGCAAGATTGTAACATTACCAACCTATCAATATAAACTTAAATTTCTAAGATGTAGTTCTAGAAAATGATGAAATCTATATACTTATTGAGATTACACGGGGTCTAAAGTTCATTTCAGATATTATTCTATGGAAAGTTAGAACAAAGTAAAGCTATTGATGTAGGATTGTATCAGGCTGGTTACTAAACATATACTGTTTTTGGCACGAAAAAGAGACATGCATGTTCATAGTATTTAGTACTTGGCTATCGCAGGTCAAATGATTGGTGCAGTCGCAATGTAAGTTATTTCCATTATCAGAAGTTGTTCGAAATCCACAAGGTGGATGAGGAGGTATTTCCGCTGCTCACCATGAAGGACCTCAAGGACATGGGCATCAGTGCCATTTGGTCGTACGTGGAGCTCAGGAGCAGCTGTTTCCCGAGTTGGGTGAGAGCTTTTTGTTTCTTCTCCCGTGGAAGGAAGGTGGCTCTCGAAGGCGGCCAGGGTGATCCTCATCAACTCCTCGCTATCCAGCCTCCTCTGGTTCCTCATGGCTTCTACAGCCTCCATGAGACTCTCCATCAGGAGATCGTCAAGTACCAGTCTAGGTTTCTTTGAGCAGGCGAGGGCGAGAAGCAGAAATACCATATAGTGAGCTGGCCCGACATTTGCAAACCCAAGGACCAGGGAGGTCTTGGGATCTTGTCGTCTAGCACATGAACATTGCTCTCCTGACCCGATGGCTCTGGCGAATCGCCAATGGGGAGGGAGGACTCTGGCTAACCATCATCAGGAATAAGTACCTTCCGGGCCAACCCCTTGCTTTCTGCCAGCGTTCTGGCGGCTCCCAGTTCTGGCAGGCTGTGATCTAGCTACTGCCTGTGCTCCGCATCGACACGTCCATTTCGGTTGGCTCTGGGTCCTCGACCCTGTTCTGGTTCGATTGTTGGGTGGGGGACTCCCCCCTCGCCATGCGATTCCCGAAACTATTCTCCATAGCGGTTGACTCTCGGGTCTCTGTCGAGATGGCCCTTATTGACTTAGGGCGTCTCGCTTTCCGGCGTCCCTCGGCCCCCTCGAGGTGGCCGCCTAGGACTCCCTCCTCCAGGACATCGCTCTTCTGTCAATGGACGTCGAGGGCGCCCCTGACTCCATCTCTTGGCGACTGGAGTCCACCGGCCGCTTCTCTACTAAGTCCTTATACTCGTCCATCGCTCCTTCGTCGGCCCCTGAACCCTTTAGCCTGATTTGGGACATCCGCCTTCCTTTGAAGATCAGGATCTTCTTGTGGCAGTGGATTCGGGGACGCCTACCCTCTGGGGTAGAGGTCCTCAAGCGTAATGGCCCAGGAGACAGGATGTGCCCCCTTTGTGGCACGGTGGAGGATGCTAATCACATCTTCTTCTCCCGCTCCACAGCCAGTTCCTGTGTTCTTGCTTTCGCGAGATGGTCGATGGACAGTGGTGCAACACCAACTTCCCGAACCTGCTTCCCGAGATCCACGCCGGCGCCCCCCGCCACTGCCATATTAGATGGTTGTGCGTTGGGGTCCTTGCTTGGACGCTTTGGACCATCCGCAACAAGCTTGTTCTTCACAAAGTGCCTCTTCGACATGCGAGTGACGTGATCTTTAAAATGTGTGGTTACCTGCAGCTTTGGCGGCCGCTTAGCCGCCCATAGGACCGGGACGCCATCAACACCCTCCTCGCCGATCTTCGCTCGATGGCCTTCCGCGTGGCACCCCCGTTGCCGCCCCCTCCTCCGGAGCCCGGTTAGGCCTGCTGTTTCGGGCTGCTGTGCTTGTGTTTGTGTTTTGATTTCAGGGCTTGTTGAGCTGTGCCCTCAACATTAACCCCATTTGATACTTGCTGTGTTCGTGGACCTTGTGTGTGTGTGTGTGAACCTTGTTGGATGCTTGGGCGGTTTGCTTTATATATAAAGCAGGGTGAAAGCCTTTTTGGGTAAAATGCCTTATTTTAGTTACGGAGGTGGTAGTAGTGGCATTAACAAATGGTGATTTCAGCAATCTTAGTGTGTTGGCATGGAGACATGAATGAGATTCTTCTTATTCATCCTAAATAGTGAAGGAAATATGCCCTAGAGGCAATAATAAAGTTATTATTTATTTCCTCATATCATGATAAATGTTTATTATTCATGCTAGAATTGTATTAACCGGAAACATAATACATGTGTGAATACATAGACAAACATAATGTCACTAGTATGCCTCTACTTGACTAGCTCGTTAATCAAAGATGGTTGAGTTTCCTAGCCATAGACATGAGTTGTCATTTGATTAACAGGATCACATCATTAGGAGAATGATGTGATTGACTTGACCCATCCCGTTATCTTAGCACTTGATCGTTTAGTATGTTGTTATTGCTTTCTTCATGACCTATACAAGTTCCTATGACTATGAGATTATGCAACTCCCGTTTACCGGAGGAACACTTTGTGTGCAACCAAACATCACAACGTAACTGGGTGATTATAAAGGTACTCTACAGGTGTCTCCGAAGGTACTTGTTGGGTTGGCGTATTTCGAGATTAGGATTTGTCACTCCGATTGTTGGAGAGGTGTCTTTGGGCCCACTCGGTAGTACACATCACTATAAGCCTTGCAAGCATTGTAACTAATGAGTTAGTTGCGGGATGATGTATTACAGAACGAGTAAAGAGACCTACCGGTAACGAGATTGAACTAGGTATTGAGATACCGACGATCGAGTCTCGGGCAAGTAACACACCGATGACAAAGGGAACAACGTAGGTTGTTATGCGGTTTGACCGATAAAGATCTTCGTAGAATATGTAGGAGCCAATATGAGCATCCAGGTTCCGCTATTGGTTATTGACCGGAGACATGTCTCGGTCATGTCTACATAGTTCTCGAACCCGTAGGGTCCGCACGCTTAAAGTTTCGGTGACGTTTGTATTATGAGTTTTTGTGTTTTGATGTAACGAAGGTAGTTCGGAGTCCCAGATGTCATCACGGACATGACGAGGAGTCTCAAAATGGTCGAGACGTAATGATCGATATATTGGACAACTATGTTTGGACACCGGAATGGTTTCGGGGAGTTTCGGACATATACCGGAGTACCGGGGGGTTACCGGACCCCCCCCGGGAGACTAATGTGCATATTGGGCCCTAGTGGAGAAGAGGAGGGGTGGCCAAGGGCAGCCGCGCGCTCCCTTCCCCCAGTCCGAATTGGACAAGGAGGGGGGGGGGGGCGCCCCCCTTTCCTTCCCCTCTCTCTCTCTCTCCTTCCCTCTCCTCTCCTACTCCCACTTGGAAGGGGGGAGTCCTACTCCCAATGGGAGTAGGACTCCTCATGGGGCGCGCCTAGGGAGGCCGGCCCCCTCCCCCTCCTCCACTCCTTTATATACGGGGAGGGGGGCATCCCTTGGAGACACAACAATTGATCTCTTGATCTCTTAGCCCTGTGCGGTGCCCCCCTCCACCATATTCCACCTCGATCATATCGTAGCGGTGCTTAGGCGAAGCCCTGCGTCGGTAGCAACATCATCACCGTCATCACGCCGTCGTGTTGACGGAACTCACCCATGAAGCTCTGCTGGATCAGAGTTCGCGGGACGTCATCGAGCTGAACGTGTGCTGAACTCGGAGGTGCCGTGCGTTCGGTACTTGGATCGGTCGGATCGTGAAGACGTACGACTACATCAACCGCGTTGTGCTAACGCTTCCGCTTTCGGTCTACGAGGGTACGTGGACACACTCTCCCCTCTCGTTGGTATGCATCACCATGATCCTGTGTGTGCGTAGGATTTTTTTTAAATTACCACGTTCTCCAACAGTGGCATCCGAGCCTGGTTTTATGCGTAGATATTATATGCACGAGTAGAACACAAGTGAGTTGTGGGCGATACAAGTAATACTGCTTACCAGCATGTCATACTTTGGTTCGGCGGTATTGTTGCATGAAGCGGCCCGGACCGACATTACGCGTACGCTTACGCGAGACTGGTTCTACCGACGTGCTTTGCACACAGGTGGCTGGCGGGTGTCAGCTTCTCCAACTTTAGTTGAACCGAGCATGGCTACGCCCGGTCCTTGAGAAGGTTAAAACAACACTAACTTGACGAACTATCGTTGTGGTTTTGATGCG